GGATAACATTTGGCTACCCACCATGCCACCCAACCGCCACCATTTGTCAACGCCACAAAATTAATCCTGTCGCCATCCGTTATAACCTAAAGATATTTTGCCTTGTCTATAAATGTGTGCATGGCCGCCGCAGCCCTCTACTTGCCGAGCTTTTTGTACTTAGATCAAATAGCAACCATACCAATGCCTTGACCAGGGGACAGTCCGCCCTGGCTTTAGCCCTGCCTAATGCTTCGTCACGGTACGGTTTCTATGCTTTGCCTTACCTGGCTGCTGACAGGTGGAATTCGCTTCCAGCAGCATGCCGCCAGGCAGCCTCCTTTGCAATGTTCAACAGTACTCTTCGCAGCCTCTTTTGCAACACATAATGGCACAGTATGCAGCCATCGTTTTCTTTTTTCTTTGCTCTATTTCACGCACTTACGGCTTTCTTAATTCAGCTCTATTTCACGCACTTACCTACACGTTACCCTGTAAAAAGACTCACAGTCTGTGGGGATTGCCCTAGTAAAATAATAAATACTAGGGACGTTTAGCAATGCGAAAATTCGAACTTTTGGTGGTGGCGATATTTCGCGAAAATCTATTTCGAAAAAGAAAACTTGTGAGGTTTAGCAATGCGAAACGACTTTTTCTCGAAGCTTTTCGAATCTTATAGTACCGTACCGTATATGCAGCTCAGTCTCAAGCAGGGGGCTGTAAAATTACTACTCCATGTAGTGAAATGCGTACCGAGAAAAGAGAAAGTTACTTTCGCAAATCACTGCAACTTCGCGTCCAAGTTTTCGAAGTTTCGACCTTTGTTTCTGTACTCATTCCCAGACTCGAATTTTCTTTCGAACTTTCGCATTGCTAAACATCCTTACTACTACTACTACTACTACTGCTTTTCGAGCAGAATCTGCCACGTTTTCGAGCAGAATCCGCCGGTCCCTAACCAGCGTACACACGGGAAATTAAGTTGCGCTTTGAGAAGTACGGTACGGCACATTGTATTTGAAGTAAACAACAGGAAAGGCCAATCGTCTCGAGTCACACGTCCCTGGCCTGTAGCTGTTGGACTGTTGACCCCGTACAGGTCCACCAGCACACGAAGTCCTTTTCTTTATACGGTAATTATAGACACGATAAACCCCGGGTTTATCGGGTGTTAGCGGCCGTCGTGAGTTCCCCTCGGGAACGGACACGATAATTTACTTTATTAGAGAGGTTAAGTTTCACGTAAAAGTCTTACGTCCGTGAACTTTTACGTCAAAAAGTGAAAAAACTCATGTAAAATTTGACGTGTTTTACGTGAGTTGACTGTCCCGCACGTAAGTTCATGACGTGAGTTTTTGGAAGTTTCGCTTGGTTATTCCGACCGAATTTGTGTGAGTTTCCGGAATTTTATCGAGTTTGTTGGAAGATTTGATATTTGTGCGAACTAAACTCGAATCCTGCCAGGCAAAATTTCACGTCACGTCGCACGTGTAACTTAACCTCTAAAAATTATTTTTTTTGCACCGCGTTTTGAAAAAGGGCAAAAAACGTGTAACTTAACCTCTCTATTTACTTTATAGACACGAATGTAGGGCACTTTGTTTCAATGCATGCTTTTTCAAGTGATTCAAGTACTCATCCCATATCCCCTCGGAAAGCAGCCCCCATTTCACCAGTGTAATGCTGGAGGATCACACTGGCTGCACGTTCTGCTACACTACTGACTATAATTATTATGGCTACTATGCGGCGTCCGATTATTGTCTTGTATTTTATGGATTCCCCAAAGGCCGAGGCCTAAGTCGAGTCCCATCCGATCGTACATGTACCTACATGTAAGTATAGCCTACTATAGGGCCTCTCTCATTACAGGTCATAAAATAGTTCCACTGCCTGAGGACGGGGCCTGGCATTGTTTGCCACTGGAACAGAACTTTCAATCCCATCACAGGACGCGACGATGCGAAGCCATCTGCTTACACCTGTGGAATCGAGAATCATGCTTCCGTCCTTTTTCGATCGTGCAGATCTCAGCACAGCATTAATTTGATCACGATTACAAATTAGCGGGGGCCATATTACCGTTTTTTCCGGAGTATAGTGCGCACTTTAGATGTGCTAATTTAGGCCCTAAATCGCAGGTGCGCACTATGCTCGTCAGCTGTGTACATCAGCAGTTCAATTCTGTGCTCCAGTCCTCTTTATTCTCGTGAGCTGTGTACTTGTTTTGCTGTTTGTTTGGTTTATTTGAATTCGCTCAGTAACCGTGTACTTCAGCTATTCTCTCCTCCCTCTTCTGAATTTGACTCTCCGCTGGCCTTCTCTCCTCCCATCCCCTTACATTGTATTGGGCCTCCGCAGCCAGAAAAGGACATGTGCATACAGAAACGGACAAGAGCATACAAAGGGAGCACATTGCGAGGGGTAGCACAGCCAGAAACGGACATGTGTGATCATCACTCTTGATCATTATATGCGATATTTTCCTGTACATTTGATATGGTTTGCTTCCTGAAGTCCATCACAATAAGCGATATATCGGTATAGCCGATAATAGTGTATATAGTGATATTTTAGCTGTATTTTTTTCTGATTTGATTTTGATTTTGATTTTGACGTGTTCTATCACTATAACCGGTATATCATTATATCCGGTCACTTTATAAACGATACTTACTGTACTTCAAATGGAGGGTTGAAGTGCGCACCCCCAATGAAGATTGGGGGTGCGCGTTAAGCCTAGTTCACATTCGACGGGGCGCGACGGGACGCGACGTAAGGATCGACGGGAAGCGACGGGACGGTCTGACGGCGTCCAATAGGGAGGTTCTGCTATACGTGAAACGTAGAGAAATCACGTAGAGAGCAGGTGTCTGGGTTAGAGTCTACGGCTTCGCGTGTTTTGGCTCCAGATTTCTACGCGGAGATGGGGTTCTCTACGTTGTGGCGCACGCAGAGAAAATGCGTACGGATTTGCTGGGTATCGATCAACTGCATGCAGAAAACTGCCAAATATGGAAGGGGAAATTCCCAGTACACATTCCACGTGACTTCTCTAGGTGAAACGTAGAGCAGAACAGCATTTCTTTACGTTACGGGAACGCGAAGAAAGTTCGCGTGATTCTTTGCGTCGCGTTCCCAAAACGTAAAGCAGAACCTCCCTGAGGCTGTGTTTACATGAAGCGTTTCAACCCGGGTTGAGTTCGACCCGGGTCAGATTTCAACCCGCCATGTGCACAAAGTGAATGGCGCGTTTACATGACGCATTGCGCTTGACCCGGGTTGAAATTTCGCCCCGGGTTGATTTCAACCCTCCCCCCAAGGGGAGGGTTGAAATCAACCCGGGTCAAGAAAATCGTACAAACGTACTTCTGTGCGTATCTCGCGCCAGGTTTGAACAGCACTGCAGATGCAAATTTCGCGCGAACGGATTCACGTGACCATACAGGACTGTAGAAGTGGACTTTTGGCGGCATATCAGTATTTGACCCGGGTCAACTGTCTTCATGTAAACGCTCACCTCTTTTGTCTGTCGTATAGACTTTCAACCCGGGCTGAACTCGACCCGGGTTGAAATTTCTCATGTAAACACAGCCTATGTGAACACCAGGAACGGGAACGCAACCGTACTACCGTACAGATCGGGAAGCGACGGGAAGAGTTGGATCGATCCAACTTTTCATACCGTAGACGGGCGTAGACGGGGACGCAAGCGTACAAAACGGCTGCAATTCGAGTGTGAACAGGAGACGCCGTCGTGCGCCGACTGCTCCCGATTCGTACTTGGATATTTGTAGCATTTCGAACACTCCACTTCCCATGATAACTCACAGAATGGCTAGCACGACTGGAGTTGAATTGTAGCAACATAAGATCTCATGTCACTTATTGTATTTATGGATAGTTCAGAAGCGTGACAGACGAACTATTCTATCATTTCCTGGTGCTATTATTTGAATGCCACAACTTTCAGGGCTAATTTTTTGGTCTTCACGAAAAACTGGTATTGTGAACTTGATTCCGCTTCTTTCAAGGAGAAATAATTGAAAAGAAGTCCCGAAAAACGAGAAATTAGGTCCAAAAGTCACCCCGTCACGGACCGTGCCTTATGACTCGCGCCGTTCGACGGTGAACGTCGCAACGACTGCTGCATGTCGTGTCGTAGACTCTACGAATCGTACAGGATTTTACAGCTCACCCCAGCCCTCCCGACGAGCCCTTACGTCCCGTACCGTCGGCGTTGCGTCGAATGTGAACTAGGCTTTATACAAAGGTGCGCACTATACTCCGGAAAATACGGTAATTATATTCTTGGTATCATGCCTGGGCCGTGTGGGCCACCCGATTTCCTCCTGGGTTGCAACATTGATGCTATAAGCCATGTACGGTACGCAATGATAATAATAAAAATAGTGCCAATACCCTTCGACTTCACTAGGCCATGGGCCAGGGGGGGGGGGGGGGCGGCATGGCATCAGGCATGGTTTTGGCATGCAAGTCTATAATGAGCATAATGATGACGTGGACAGTAAACTGGTCAAGGGTTCCCGAAAGGGCACCAGGGTTTCCATCAGGGAGTCGTCAAATACCGGTATTTGACGACTCCCGATCTGATTCCATCTTGGTCGCCGCTCGCCGCAGCACGCGTATAACCAAGAGTACATAACCCCGTTATGTACTCTTGGTATCAGGGAGTAGTACAATACAGTATTGTACTACTCCCTGCTTGGTATAACCAGATAACACGCTGGGACTGACCTCTACGCCGCAATTGCGTGCTTGTCCGCGGATCAGCCGTTTAGTTTGTGCATGTGGCGGATGCAGCTACCTGTTTGAGAAGTCGTACCCGTATTTAGAATTCGGTGATACAATCATATACACGAGTACGTACTCTTGATGTATGCATATGCGGGCGCCAGAGAAGAAAACGGGCGCTGTACAAGCCCGGAATGTACGGTGAAAAGTAACGAACTATGTCCAACGGTAAAACCGTTGGTAATCGTTTCAATCAAAGTAGGCAAGCCGCCAAGAAGTCACCATATCAAGGCGTCACAAAGCGAGAGTGCCATCACAAGTGATTTTGTCTTCTTAGCTTGTTTGCTCGTCGCGAAGATCATGAAGATGTCGTCCTTTGCTGCTGTCTTCTTGGCAGCCCTGGCTATTGCCACGGGGGCCAATGCGCAGGTCGCCAACATCACCACTGGTAAGTTGTCCCTTTATCGTAGACAAGAATAGACAAGAATAGACATTATGTTCGCAGCTGGTCGTGCTTCAATTCTCCTTTGTTACTCTCGCATTTCCACATTTGTTCGAGATGAGTTTGTGTTGAATTTTGAATTTTGAATTTTGAATTTACTTTGCCATCGGTACTTGTCCCAATGTGTTCCTTTCAGTAGGAAATGTATGCAGAGCTTTAAAAACGAATAATAGTGGGTGTATTGTTGTGAAGGAACGTACTTCAAGCTGTGCCACGATACTTTAAACATTAGACGTTAGGATCGATGTTTTGTATACTGAGACGAAATGTGAAGTGTTCTCGATTCGACGACTGACTTTCCTTTGTCTGTGGGTGTGGTGTGTATCGTTATTGGTCGTGTACAGGTAGCAACTCCTGCAGCTGCCGTAGTCAGTGCACTGCGACAGGCACCATCACCTACACCGTCCGACTGGAGTTCCTTTGGCCCGCATCCGACTACTTCCTCCCCGTCAACCCCCACTGGTCTCGCAGTGTGTTCGCCACTCACTCAGGATGCGCCGTCATCTTCCGTAACCAGGTGCAGCCTTCAGAGGGCATAGCCTCGCTGACCGCCAGAGGTGAGCCAACCGAATTGCAGAACGAGACAGCCGCGTACTCCGACCGCGTCAGAAGCTTCGTCATCGCACCCCCAGTCTCTACCGCTGCCGGTAATGCCACTGGTGAAGTCACCGCCGACAGGTACGTCAATTACTAGCAGTCAAAATGACAATTTAGGTCTCTGTCTCTCTGTGTGTCTCTCTGTGTGTCTCTGTCTCTCTGTGTGTCTCTGTCTCTCTGTCGCTGTTTCTGTCTCTCTGTCGCTGTTTCTGTCTCTCTGTCGCTGTTTCTGTCTCTCTGTCGCTGTTTCTGTCTCTCTGTCGCTGTTTCTGTCTCTCTGTCTCTCTGTCGCTGTTTCTCTCTCTGTCTCTCTCTCTCTCTGTCTCTCTCTCTCTGTCTCTCTCTCTCTCTGTCTCTCTCTCTCTCTCTCTGTGTCTCTCTCTCTCTGTGTCTCTGTCTCTCTTTCTTGTACGTGAACATGTATACATCACCCCTGTACGTGTGTTGTTGTTGTTGTTGTTGTTGTACTAAAGTCTTCTCTACAATTGTAAAGCAGATTGAGCAGTTCTTAGATGTGTGCGACTTGATGCATAGGAAGAAAATAATTATGTACTACAGTCCATTCATAAAAAGATGGGTCCTGGCTCTGGCGAGCTCCCGTATTTGGCGATTTTTCGTGATTTCATCGTACACAGTGCAGTGCTGCGAACTTTGAAATTTGAAAATGGGTCCAAAAAGGGTGCCTGAACTGGGGTTCGAACCGCAGAATGCACTGTTGCAGGCGGGGTCAAACGGCCTGAATTTTGATGGTTTTTCCCAATTCAGTGCTTTTGGGGCAAAACCTGGCCGAAATCCTATTCTTGCTATGGCTTGCTTTTTGGGCAAAAAAACTTCAGAAACATAATTGGAAGAGGATTCCATATGGGATTGCAGAAAAAAATTCTAAAAAAACTCAACGTTTGACCCATTTATGGCCAAAAGCTAGAAGTTCATTTTTTTCTGAATGGACTGTAAATGGAATGGAATGATTGTTGGGGGATGTTATGAAGGACACACTGTAAACTGTGGTTTGTTCGTGCTACTCTCCAGCATTCAACCTCTGTGTAACTGGCTATACATGGCCTGTTTTCTTCTCCCTCTCCCCTATCAGGTACCACCCAGAAATGACCGCCCTGAGCATGATCGCCCCGTCACCTAGCTGGTTCGTCGGCGTGGACTCTGTGCCACTCTGCACCGGTGATGTCTGGGTCCAGTCTGCCGTCTACGACATTGCCCCGTGGAACGCCGGCGCTGACGGCGGTCGCAACTACTCTTCCCCCGACGACACCCTGTCGCCGTTCAATGTCACCCGTCGCATCAGGAAGTCCAGCGGCACTGACGTCTTCAACGCCGTTGGCGATGACACCACGCCCATGGCTCGCATCTTCATCGACATGAAGTCCCAGGACACCACCAACGACGACGTCGTGGAACCGTCCACCGCATGCAACAAGTGCTCCGGTACCTGCTCTGCCGAGAGCTATGACTGTAAGCACCCAACGCATTGTACATTGTGCCATGAAGCGGCTCGCTTCTTTCAAGGGAGGGCCATGAGAAAGAGGCTTCGGTGGCGTTTAGTTCTGGGCAGTAACCTATTTGATTGCAATTTATTCATATCTGTGTTTGGCATGACATCACCATCACCCAGTCTAGACTGAGCCAATTTGGAGTATGCAAAAGTAAATGGACTGCATAGAACGTGTTGGTGTGGCATGTCAAGCACATGTTTTCAGGAGGACACTTGTTGAACTTCTTTCCTGGTGCCCATGCTGTTATTCTAGACTGTTAGTTCTGACAGGGTCCCCTGTACTTACTGATACTGCAGTGGAATTGGATTGATTCTGCACCTGTGAAACAAAAGCAATCAGAAGTACTGTCTGCAAAGCTGACATGGGTTGGCTTGTCCCTCATATAATAATAATAATTATAATATGCACCTCGGATCTGAAAAAGAGAAAAAGAGAAATAGAGAAATAGAGAAGAAGGTGTGTGACATTCTGTAACAGATGTGTGGTTGTCTCACTGAATATTGCTGTTTGTGTGTGTGTGTGTGTGTTTGTGTGTGTGTGTATGTGTGCAGGGTCCATCAACAAGCCAGTCACCCAGACTCTGCTCTGTAAGTATTGTGGTACTTGCCGGTCATTAACCATGATGCAGGGGGTGCCGAATGCAGTGGAGGCTGTCGTGTATATAATCCATGTAGATTGAATAAGTTTAATACACTAACTTTGGGACAGTCTGATGGTGGCAATGCCATTCGCGAGGTTCTTAGTCGCTTACGGCTATTAGCTTTACTTGGCTAATCAACTACCAAGCATGTTCTTGACTGCACTTTCCTTGCAGTCTTCTAGCTAGCCTCAATTGGTACTGTCAATATGACATACCTCAATTGGTACTGTAAATATGACGTATGCCTATGTTGTGTTTTGGACAGTTGCACTATCACTCATGACCGTACATGTATCATAGGGCTGAATGTTTTTTAGGATTTCGTGCTGCTGACAATGGTGTCGCACTAACCTTCTAGCTGCTGTGTGTCGGGCAGTGTTGTTGACCTTTTCTTCTCTCTGTCTCCTCTGTTTTCCCCTTCTCTCAACTGCAGCTTCCGCCGGCGGTGTCACCTTCTCCACCCTTGCTGTTGTGTTCAGTGTCGTTGCTGCCATGCTTGCCTAAACCTTTTGCCCTCCCCTCGCCAGCCTGTCTCTTGGCACGGGTGCTGTTGCTTTGTTACCGTATAGTTCAGTACGTCTTTTACTTCTTTTGTGCTACTCTGTCTTTGTGTTTGCGTTTCTGACACAATTCTTGCTCCAGATCAGGACAACCGGCTTTTTCAGTAAACAAATGGACCCATTCTTCTTCAACATAGTAATTATTATAGAACGATGCTAACTTCACTGGTGTTTCCTGCACTAGTTTTTTAAATTAGAGACCACCAAAGTTTGATCCAGTTCCGCAGAATATTCTCCGTCCCCCCAGGCAATCGTGGCAGCTTCGATGCCGCATGTCCATTATCAAGTATTTAACTGCTTGGATTCATTCGACCCCGTGTGATTTTCGTCACCAGACTAGCAAGGGCGTATTCCACCTTCTCATGTATGTGTGTGTGTGTGTGTGTGTGTGTGTACTCGCATGTGTGTGCACGTGTGTAGTTTTGTTTCTTTCTTTGTGGCCTGGAATCAGAAATCATCTGCTGGTCGGCTTGATTTTTCCACACTCTGTGCTTGGTGCTTACCAGTCGACTCTTGTTTATTCGCTTCCTCTCTTCCCCTGCTTTTCTTTCGTGATACTAGTAGTTCCTTGCCTAGTTGTTGTTTCTTTTTACTTCACCATATGAACAGGCAAGACTGCCTTCTCACCGGGGCTATTGGCCCACGGCTCTCACAATATGATGAAAATGTTTAAAAAAAACCTGGTGTTGCTGCTGCTGTTGCTTCTGCAGCCATTCTTGTGTTACACTATAGCATGTTCTGTTCCCCTAACATCCGCTGAAGTGGTGTACAGTCAACTTCGCTTATGACGACACTCGGCGGGGCATCAGAAAAGTGTCGTTATTCGCGAAGTGTCGTTATCCCCGAAGTCTCATTATGTATTACAGTTGGATGGGGCTTTGCTCTGGGCATGAAAATTCTGTCGTTATTCGCGAATCGTCGTTATATCCGCAGTCGTTATTAGCGAAGTGCCCAGTACACTGTAGTTGTGCAGGTGTATGCCTCCTTGCCCTGCTCACACTCTTCTCTCCAAAGGTTTAGCAAGAACTAAAAACGCGAACTAAAAACGTCGCGAAAATTTCACGCTTTACAGTAGTAAAATCTTTTACAAACTCCCTGCCATGCCTTCAATACAGTGAACCCTCTGTATGCAAGACTTATCGTGTGCACGTGACTTACCATAACCACAATAGGCCTTGGCGGATAATGCTCGAAAAGGTGGCAGATTCTGCTTTTTTTGCACCGAAATTGGCAGAACCATACAAACCTTATGGCGGGCAATTCCTCGAGTTCTGCTCCATTTCTTTATCCACATACCAAACATGCATAAAATTACCAGAAAATGTACTTAATTCTGCCAATTTTTCTGCCGGCATTATCCGCCAAGCCCTAAAACACAATAAGTACACGCCGAGAAGCAGAGTGCATTTCGGAGAAAGACAAAATTTAATGCTGAGGCTGCTCCGTGCAATAGAACTACAGAAGAGCCGTGCGCCGAAGAGCGTGGAGCCCAATAGTCCATCAGCCAAGAACTCAGAAGTCGTCAAATTCAAGCACCCTGTTGCACTTAGAAATCGAATACTTGATTTTGGCCTCAATGGGGAGTTTAGGTACCCTGTACACCGAATCCGCAAATAAAAAGAGTAAACGACTTGCACGCTCTGCAGGGGGAAGCCGACAAAGTGACCATTTTTGGCATTTCATCGACAGCCATTGTTGTGACCTAAACCCAATCTCCAATCAGTGCCATGCGCGTTTCAGGAATGAACTTTCAGATTTTTGTGAATTACGGGAAAAACCTTGCAAATCGAGAAGATTTGCAGTGTAAACCATTGCAGTTTCCGTATTACACGTGTGCCTGGATTCAAATTACAATAAAATTGTTGTTCGCCCACTTGTAGAGTGTTGTTCCATTACATATCTCTTTGTAAGAAAGGGTATCTCTCGAGAACATAATCTCTTTCACTGTTCTATTTAATTGAGCATCCGAATACATACCTTCAGGAAGATTACAACGAGCTAGTATTGAACATCATCCACCTTCGGGTTTCCGAAGTATGCACCCCGAGTCATGTCAAGCAGGTTTGAAGCGTAGTTTTTACTGTTTGGCAAAAGTGATCTACGCTTCCACCCTGAATGGAATCGCCCCGGGAAGGTCCTGATCCCTGGAAAATTAAGGAAAGTGGAGAGCTAAAAGTAAGGAATCTGCGGCAATGCATGTTGTACATCGAGTGAATGCCCTGCAGTTCTCTTCTCCATTACGACCAACTAGCAAACGCCATGGCTCTGGATGCTGACAGCAAACAGTCGAAATAAAGGCAAGGCTGCTTTGAACATGTTGCAACCAGGTAGTAGTACAGTTACAGTTGTACTACTTCGAAGTACTATCTACCACACTCGAGATCACCCAAAGAATAAAGCGATTGAATTCAAAATCAAAAAAATTGTTGGGGATCGTCTGAAGCATATTCAAGCGAGGTACAGTCGGGCTTGATGACTGATCAAAGCCCTCGGGCTGGTCCCTTGGGCTTTGATCAGCCATCAATCCCTCTGTACCTCGCTTGATTATCTACTTGATACCATTGTAGTTGCAAACAAGTAACTACAACAATTGCAGTACAATAGTCATGTAGTTTTTTGAATTAGTTATTTGAAAATCGTGAGCATCTTCATCTTCTTTCCGGTGCGCATGTACACATATTTTTTGAATCTTTACGTGCTCCAAGCCAACTCACCTCTGCTCAAATCGACGGCGATTTATTTCGCGATTTTAGGTCGATCGCCACGGAAAACCACACCAAACGTTGACAAAACTCCACGTTTTTCACTGAAGACGCATTGGATGTCCTGATAAAACGGATGGAAAACCTCGTAATGGCTGATGAAGAAGAAGAAATTTGTCGAACTTCCAAGGCGCACTGCAAAAGGAGTGCAAGAGTTTCGCCAGGGAAAGTAGGCAGTTCGGATTCAGTGATGCTTTTGCTGTCGATTGATGTCAGTTCCAGGTGTTCGATTTGTAAGTGCAACAGGGGACTCACTTTGGCACCACTGGCTGATGGACTACAAGAACATCCAGCCTGAAACACTAAGAACGCTACAGCCAACGGCGGTGTTGGTTTTCTGGCAGCTTTGAGGATGCATTATTATAATCCAGTAGGAATTGTTTCTAAGAACGTGCTATAGCTAAGATGCAGCCAGATTGCTGAAAAATAAGAACGTTCTAGGCTAACCCCTTGGAAACAATGTTCTTGGACGCGCGACTCTACTGTTAACATTATAATTATTATGTTACCACAATACCTTACTGCCCTCTCCATATTTTTACTACTGAATATATAGCTGACAAAGTACCATTTTTTCTTTTCTTTTGCATCACATTATCATATTCATCAATACACAGAGGCAATATGCTTTAGTTCTGCAAGAGTGCTCAATGCCTGATTCAGGCAGAGCGGCGTACACAACTTGTGCATATTCATCAATAATAATTAGTAGGAGTCGTGTTTGGCTCTGGCCATCCCGGCAAGAAGGCAGATACCGGGGTATGCCTGTTCGATTGGTGAATAAAAATACCATCCCATACCTTCTTGGACGCGGTCTGACCCTTGGCGAATAACGCCCGCAGAACTTGGTACTTTTGCTCTCAGAAGTACATTTGCGGTGCATGTACATCTCATGTGGTGAACCCCTTGATAGGCGACAAGCCTCTGGGTCATCCTAATAAAGATTATATATATATATATCATTATTATTATGTGTCAAGATACCCATGTTTGGCAAATGGATACAGAAGAGGAGCAGCTATGCTCAGCCATTAGCTTTGTATTGTTCTGTCAATTTCACTGCTTTTCGAGCCAGATCTGCCAAATTTTATGGAGCACCAGTAATAATTATTAATATCCACGCCAAAGAGCTAACGACGTCCATGCAGAGACCCCACCTGCGCTGTTTCTCTTCCATTCCGATGGTAAAATGACACCTGCCTATTTCTGTGAGAAGATCCGGAGGAACCCTCGAGCTGTGACAACTGTGTTGTGACTAGGCCTCGACCAAATATGCTAAAAAAAGAGCATATTATGCTCGTCGCATATCAGAGAAAACGTCCATAATATGCCAAAGGCTTAGCAAAATATGCAAAAAGATATGCCAAAATATGCTCAACAGAAAGTGTAGATTATTTCAGTAAAATTACAACCTTGGAATATTCATTGGCTTCACGGCTATCATGCTCATGGTGCAAATCACGACGGACCCCACGATAGGCGGTCAGCCTTTGGGTCATCCTAATATTAAAGTTATTATTATTATCAAAACATAATTATGCGGAATAGTATGGCTGGGGTGTGTCCCCAGCAACCGTAATGATAGTGTTCATCCATGGGGGAATGTAGCAAACGCCTCAACCATTCCAAATTCATCCATAAAAGGCATATCTGAACGCATTTTGTCCATAATATGAATGATTTGTCCTCATTTTCTTCAGAATATTTGAATTATATGCTGGCTTCTTTCCATTATTCCCTTTGTCGCTCAATATGCCATATATGAACTGTTTCACAAAATATGCGGAAATATGCGCAAGCATATTTGGTCGAGGCCTAGTTGTGACAAGATGCTGTCTGTAATGACTCTAGGGAGACCTGAGACCTGAGACCTGAGACAGTTTGCTGCGGATCGCAATGGATGGCGGCAGGTTATCTGAAGGAGTCGCCACAACTGCCGGATATTGACATACATAATGGACAGAGCTAGAGAACAGCAGCGGAAGCATGTATAGCACGGCTGTGCATGTTGTACGCGTATCTGGGTTATTTTATTCCTCCTTTATTCACTTCTTTCGAAGGCGATAAGCCAGACCCACCGGGAAATATGTCCATGGGTGGGACAGCAAAAAGAAAGTGAAAAAATGAAAAGCCAAAAACCAAAAGGGACAAGAAATAGGGGAAGGAAGAGGAAGAAAGGAAAGAAACTCTATCCAAACTCCAACATCAAAACAATAATAAAGAATTTGCAACGACAGGTATTGTACGGATGATAAGGACGTTGATGTTGTTATGGGGATTACAAAGGAAATATCTTTATCAGTCGTTATTCAAGTCTCTTGGCTATTGAACATGAAAACGCAGCAGATGTGCATCTACATGTTAAGGACAGTTCTTAGTATTTTAACCGAACCTTGGATGCCTTATCACTGCCCCGCGCTAGTTCCTCTCTGTTTTTGAAATCCCCTTTCTTCTCAGCATACTCCCTTTGGTCTAACCTGTCTACTAGCATTAAGACATGCCAGGATATCAGGAAATTCACAGTCCAGCTTTCCACACTGTCTCATCCGAAGTGATCCCATGTATTATTAATGTGCCTCCCTTTCTTTTTCTCTCCCTATCTCCTTTCCCTCTCTGACAGCATCTTTCTTTTTTTTCCCTTTTAGCTTGCCGTGGTTGGCTATCACCTGACCTCTCATGTTTATTGGCAGTCTTCGGACGGGCCAGGAGATGTTGAATAAATAAATATGTAGCCTCCTGTTGCACAATAGCCAGGTCTCCTCCCTGCACAGTCCGGAGGCATTGAAGAGTCTCCCCCACCAAGCCTCCCAGGGCACCGACAACCACAGGGACCACGTCAACCTGGGTGAGGGACCAAATTCTGG